CAGACCTGATTGTTCCAGGCTTTCCGGTAGCCATCCCTACCGGACCACACGTACAGTCGGGTACTGATGGATACTGAGCAGTGGCCGGCTCTGGCGCGCGGGACTGAGTCGTCAAACGACTCATTGGTGATGAACTCCCAGGTCATGGTCTCGAGGTTGAGCGCCGCCAACGTGTTCGTGCACTTCCACTCCTTCTCCTGAACACTGCCACCAGTTTTGGAGCGCGCGGGACTGAGTCGTCAAACGACTCATTGGTGATGAACTCCCAGGTCATGGTCTCGAGGTTGAGCGCCGCCAACGTGTTCGTGCACTTCCACTCCTTCTCCTGAACACTGCCGCCAGTTTTGGTATCATTTTCGCAGACAAGTGGTACCCAACCGCCGAAGACGTACATCCGCTGATTGATTAGTGTCGCCGAATGCAGGGATCGCGGGAGGGGTGGTATACCTGTGCGCACAGACACCACAAACACGTGTTTAAAACACATACTAATCGTCTCAAACCGTACACTACTATACCGTCGACGATGGGTTTAGTCCACGTCATAGACTCGATGTCCAGGAGCCACAGGTCGCCCAACCGGCACCCACTCATACCCCCGTATATAATCAGCTTTGAACTCTTGCCGTCGGGGCTCACGTACGCCACCGCTGTATGAGATTCACGGGGCGGGGGAGGCGTGCCGTGGATTTGCGGTAACTCCCACTGCATGACGTTCGAGTAGGGCCTCATCTCCAGCACAAACAGATCGTTCAGATACCTGTGCCCAACAAACACACAACCATTAGTCGCTCAACACATACACCTCATCAACAACTGATCCATACCTCGGAATATTATTCTTGGGATCATCGGAATCGTTGGCCAGCCCTCCGAACAGGAACACCCGATTGCCGATCAGTGTGAACGAGTGGCCCAACCGAGGGCACGGGTAGTTGGCGCCCGTCTTGGGTGGTCTGGGCTTCAGGCGCTTCCACTCCCATCGACTCGCCTGCAGTTCGTACAACTCGTTAGAGTACTTCCCGTACTCTACCATTCCTCCGAAGACCAGGAGTCGCGTGCCATCGCATACGAAGCCATATGCAGCACATCCCGGAGGGATATCTCCCTTCACTTGCGGTACAAACCATTGATTGGTTGCTGTAATGAGTCCGCAATTTGTGGTCAGTTGTTGTAATCAAGGCATCAAATACTTGTCATTATTTGTAACTTTAATTAGCGTTTAATTCATTTGTGTCTAAATGTATGGCATATAAAAAACTTTTGGATTTTAAATACATGTCTAGCATAGCATTGCTTGTATGCATAGCCTACCGGTGTTGAACCTCCCGTTCCCCTATCGGGGCACCTCCTAGTTAATTGAAATTGAAATGCATACCTATAGTTATTTAACGGGATATTTACAAATATTTACTTGTTAAGTTAAGTTTCGCATTTCTAAACGTATTTTATTTTCGTAATGTATTTTTAAATGCAATTAAAAGTGCGACAAAAAATTCAATAATTTATTGACAAATAATTTGATAACAAAAAACTTTTAGTTTTTAATTTCACCCGACTATTGGCTAACATTACAACTCAATTTACAACTCTAACACTAAAACACAAATCTTATAACTAGTATCCAGGAAAAAATTCATGTATAATGCAAATACTGTCCTAAAACTACAATTAATTTAGTTTTAATCGGCAGTCATTAGGCGCGTGTTGTCTATAAACGGCATTCACTGTACCCATGGCTGACCCAAAATTTCGTACCTTTTTATGACCGACTCTTACACACACTTCACAGCGCTTTCGCTCTCATATAACGTCTATAACAGCCATATATACCGATCGATACGATCTATGCGAGCGTCTATGAGTGGGCCGTATATATACAGCCACACAGTTATAGCACACAAAAAACATGTATTGAAAGCCCTATACATATACGCCATACATATATAGTGTTTGCAAACATAATAACAAAACGATTGATCGCCAAAAAGCGCCGAAAACTCACTCGTGTTGAAGACGTGCAGCTCATCGACGATGCCTTCGTTGCCGCCGCCAAACACTATCATCAAGTCCTTGATGGCGACCGCCCGGTGCCCGTGTCGTGGCCGCGGCGCCGGA